CCTTCACTTCAAAAGGACAACAAAAAATTACTCTCCGGTTTTTTGTGTGGGTTTTTTTTGGTGGTTTGGTGTTTGGGTTGTTTTGTGTGTGTGTGTGTGTGTGTGTGTGTGTGTGTGTGTGTGTGTGTGTGTGTGTGTGTGTGTGTGTGTGTGTGTGTGCATGTGAATGTGTGGGCACGTATGTGTGTGTGTGTGTGTGTGTGTGTGTGTGTGTTGCTGTTGTTTTTTTTATTTTGTTTTTTTTCTGTTTTTCGTTACTTTTCTTAAATCTGACAATCGCAGTTTGGAGCTCAAGTATACGCTGTGTGCGTCATCGAATACCTCTAAACTTGTAGAAACTAAAAAGAATAAGGAAAATAAGAAAAAAAAAACAAAAGAAAACAGCAGGAGCGTGTGGAAAATCCCCTATAGACCTGCCGTTATAGAGACGATTGAGCTAATAAAAATACTTAACCCTCAGGCCAGCACAGTCTCGAGACACTCGACTACCTTCATCTAAATGCAAATACAATTGACTGCTTCACGCTCAGATTTGCACACACGCAAAAATAAAATTTCCCCTCTCAAGATGTCTCCCCATCGTTGTCAGAGGAAAAAAAACGACGAAAAAAAACCTCCAACTGTGGTGAGAGATTGTCTTTACGATGGTATTATGGCACGTCCGATCTAGTAGAATCTACCCACAGGTTGAAAATAGGTGTATCCGGATTTGGAGATCAAGCTATCGTATCTAAAATAATCGCTTTTCAGAGGACGAAAGAATTATTATTTATGCCATAAAAGTAAAAGTGTCTCTGCGAACCGACTTGTTTTTGGTTTGTCTGTTTGATTGTTTGTTGTTGTTGTTGGTGGTGGTGGTGGGTTGTTGTTTTTTTGTCTTAACATTTATCGACTGTTCTCACATGTTCCTGGTACGCTTTCTGGGTAAAAGGGATGGAGATATGGTGTCTTAATATCGCTCAGTTTTCTCAAAAAACGAAATTTGAGACACGATTGGTTGGTTATAAATGGATGTGTTGCACTCCACTGGGAAGCAGTTCTGATGTTTCAAAAGGCAAGCTGCTTTTATTCTGCCTTCCAAAAGAAAATCCTTTCTGGCATCAACCACAATCAGTCATCATTGAAGAAATTGATCTAATGCGGAAGAAGAAGAAGCAGAGATGATGATGAGAGATATGAGAGAGAGAGAGAGAGAGAGAGAGAGAGAGAGAGAGAGAGAGAGAGAGAGAGAGAGAGAGAGGAGGAGAAGAAGAAGAAGAAGAAGAAGAAGAAGAAGAAGAACAAGAACAAGAACAAGAAGAAGAAGAAGAAGAACAAGAAGAACAAGAAGAACAAGAAAAACAAGAAGAAGATGATGATGATGATGATGATAACGACGACGGAGACACTGCAATAAAAATACAAAACATTTTTTTTTTTACTTAGTAGTTTCAAAATGTGCAGCCATAAAACAGCCGCTCAGGACTCGCAGTGGCAGGATAGCATCCGATGCGTATAGTCAACTGGTCATTCTAAAACATTAACACTATTTTTTCAAGCGATCTGGATGTAAAGAGGACAGGATCTACTATGTTGGGAATACTTGAAAACTACAAAACTTTACGTCAGCAACTTGTCTACGCTAAAGTTGCAACATTTTTCAGGAGAGTGCAAAAGCTGTTCTATTCATTTGAAAAACCATAGGCCCACCTACATTTAATAAATTATGTATCTTTTTTAGTTTTAGTTTAGTATGGGGTTTTACGGCATTCGCAACTGCATAAGGTCATAATATGAGCGCAATAATATATCTGTATAATTTGTTTGTTTGTTTTACTTTTTCAACATAAAGGGTTTGCAGTTCGGCAACATATTTCTCAAGCACATATTATGCAACTAAAAACCTCAGATTAAGAAATTGCTAGAACAATTTATTCCAAATGTTGGGCTTTGTAGAATCTACATATCTGAACAACTTGCTGACGTTTTCCTTTTGTTTAGTTTTGTTCAGAAAAAGTTACAATTCGAGAGAGATTAATAAAGAACACGTTAATAACAAACAAACAAACAAAAACAAACAAAACAAAAACAAAACCAATTAGTACCTTGTTGGAAACGAAAGTAATCTCTACCGTGATCTTAACAAAGCCCCTCAAGCGTTTAGGCCGACAAGTTGCGTGTTCGGAGACCTGAGCCAATTAGCTGGAACTGCCGGTAGGGGAGACTTTGGTTGGGGTGTATCTCTTGTTGTACTGGGCGGCATTCATGCCTCGGAGTCATAGACGCTTTGCACGAGAGTGCTTTCGTGTGGCGTAGTATTGCCATGAAAACAGACATGTTTGCTTTAAAAAAAAAATTTTTTTCCCTTTTCGACCCCCTACCCCGTTCCTATCCATCTCTTCATTTTTCCTCGAATCGCAACTTTTGGGAGGTTTTAGGATAGATCGGTGTTTATTGGGACGTTCTGCTTCTAAAAAACAAACAAACAAGCAAAACAAAACAAAAAATCTAGAAAATATCATCAGCATTGCTGTCTCACACTGGGTCAGGGTGTAAGCCAAGAACAAACGCGTTCCACCTTTCCCTATCCTGGGCTAGTCTCTTGGTGTTATTTTATGTCTTCCCACTTATCTGTACATCGATTTCTATTACTCTTTTTCAGGTTCGATCTAATGCAAGAACAAAGTAAGATTCAAGCACAAATTATTGTAGGAGATAGTTTAATCCCCTTTTTGCATCTTGACAAAATATGGAGCCTCCTGTAACCTGTTGAATGGTATAACTTGAATAACGTTGCTTCATGTAGGCTAGGCCATATATTTATTTTCTGATGATTCCTGCCTTTTTGTAGCACTTGAGAGAGATAGGCAGTAGGCCCCTACATATTATTATTGATTACAAATAGATTGTTTCAATCAAAGAGGTTATATTTAGTCCTAAAGTTCGTGGCAGTGATATTCCCCACGTAAACGAACGGGGCTGCGTATGCCCACTCTGAGACGCTGAACCTCAAAGGCAAGACATGCGCAGATCAACAGACGGGTGAGTACTTTTCGAGACTCATGCGGAGGCGTCTCGGCGTTCTTAAGAAGAAACCTACAAGCTTGCACTGAAATATGGGAGCAGGGTGGTGTTTAATATACAAGAGGTCGTGGGGAGCAGGGTGGTGCTCAGATTGTTCATGTAAATGGGGGCATGCGGCCATTCTGATGAGGGTATGAAGGCCCCCATGTCTGACACGTGTGACGTCATTGCTGCAAGCTCTAGAATTACACATATCATATTTGGGTTCAATACCTGAATCTGACATTCGTCATTAATATTGGCACAAGTGAGACTAAGGTAGAACAAATGGGATTTGTAACAAAGACATGTAGAGCACCAGTGAAAGCAATGATTTCAATTAAAATCTGTACACAACTACAAAAGTGTTTTTTGTATTTTTTTAAGGGGGAGAGGGTTGGTAAATGTTTCATAGTGCTGGCAACTGCATACAGTTGTATGAGTTTGCGGAACACATTAAATAATTCCAGTTGGTAGGAAATTTTGAATTATCGATTTTGGACTTCCAAGGGATCTTTAAGTAACGTGCGCAACTTGCACACAGGACCTCAAAGAATTTTCACCCTTACCCGAGAAAGCTTGGTGTAGATCTTACCTACCATAAGATCAGGAGTGTGGCTAAAAGATAGCAGAAAAAAGGAGCCAAGGAGTAGCTGTAGAAAGACTGCAGAAAGAGTCAGGTGCCTCAAGGAGGGTGCAAAGGAAGTGACGGAATGGGGGCAGTATAGTGGAGATAAAAGCAATTGGCAGAATATTGTTAGAGAGCAGGAAAGGATGTGAAAGGAAAACATATAAGAGAAGAAAATTTTCTGTTGCTATCCAGATTCGAACCCAGGACCTACTGAATGTTGTGTGAGGCGAACACCTTATAAATTAACTTCTAGACCACGAGAACCTCCTATAAAAGTCTGCTCAAGAAAATAATGACACGCTTCGTCTAACTATGCACGTGCTACATTTTATTTATTAACCCAATATTGACCATTTCACCCCCCAAAAAACTAAAACCATAGGTGAAATTGGGTTTTCAACTCGCAGAAAATCCTAAGAGACAACCACTTTGAAGTCAGACTTTTATTAGTCAAAGAAATGTCACACAGATGATACCATGGTAAGGATAAGCAATTTTGACTAAGAGAAAATTTCCTTACTTTTAATATTTTCTAAACTTCTTTTCTCACAAGGTTCTCCTCTTCATAGTCTACCATTCAAAATAACACCTTTGAAAACACAATGATATAATGAAATGTCAAAACATTTTCTATACATGACTTTAAATAATCATAGATGCAACATTGATCCATTATAGATCAGTTTTACATATTTATCTCAATGAGGGTTTTATTTTACATAATATTTCTGCGGTATACAGAAAATTCCCCATTTCGGCTCTAACTCTTAATAAACAAAACAGAAACTGGCAACATAATTTGGTAAAGAATAGGGGGCCTACCTACCTAATACCCCCTTCTAATCCATCCCCAGTTTCAAACTCTTTGACCTGGACTGCAGCCCCTAGGTAAACATGGGAAACATGGAATGGTCACAAAATTGTCTCAGAAACTAAAACTGTTCTCTGCGATCAGTATGATACATGAAATAATAATAATAATATGCTGCACATCTCCATTTAAAATAAAAAGAGATAAAGACACATAACAGTGGAAGATATAAGGGGAACATTACAAAATTACTCGAACAGGTGTGTATGTAGAATGTAAAGTTGTGTACAAAAATAAAAACATCCTATAAAAAGATTTATGACATGATATAAAAACTTGCTCATGGTCAGTTAAAACTACTGGAATGGCTACAGACTTAAAATAAAGTCTTTGTCCTCTGTCTCACACACCAACTCTCTCTCGACATCTCTCTCTCTCTTTCTCTCTCTCTCTCTCTCTTTCTCTCTCTCTCTATCTCTATCTTGCTCTCTTTCCCAGCCTCCTCCCCTCTTAATATCTCTCTCTCAATCTCTCTCTCTCTCTCTCTCTCTCTCTCTCTCTCTCTCTCTTTCTCTCGCTCTCTATCCCTATCGCTCTAATTCTCACTCAATCTCGAAGGGTATACTTTAATTTTACCCACAATTGGTATCACAGTGGCAGTGAATCTGAAATAATGCATTTTTGTTCTACTATCATGAAGATATCTCTGACGTATCTGTAGGTCTGGCCTCTTCAGAGTCGTACAGAACCAGTGCTGCCTTGTTAGAAAGCTGCTTACATCCATCCAACATGGCTGAAAGTAAATATTGAGATCAATTAAAAATTGGCAAAATTGTTGAGGTTCATTGTAGATCTATATTATTTTATTATTAAGATAAAGACATAAAAAGTCAAGATATTTTCAGAAAAGCAGAGAGGAGAGAGGATTTGGGAAGAGGAGAAGATTTATGATAAATGACCTAAGTCACGACTTAACATCAATAGGCCTTCAGCTAGTTGACTTTTGATTGTAATATACTCAAACATTTAGAATTGTACAATTCTCCTCAGACGTTATAAATATATAGGGGCCTACAATATAACAGGGATAGCTCGAATTTGTCGGGACTGGCGTAGGTAGTTCGAGGGATATCTTACAAAGAAAAAGAAGAAAAAAAAACAGACCTCCGGCACAGTTCGAGTCTTCTGTGTTCAACCTATTCGTGGTATGGCGTTTATATGTGTAGTGCTTTTTTGGTTTTTTTCTTAAATGCAAATATGTGAAACAATACAGATTAAAAAAACAACCAAGAATGTTTCAATTTGTTAACAAACACCTAGACATTGAGGGCATTTGTAACCCAGCCGACAGCAGGAAACTTCAAACTGTTTTCTCAATAAAGCTTTTATGTGTCAAACATTTTTTCTAATGAAAATTGGAAAGTATATAAAAGTTATGAACAAAAATTTTACCTGAAAGACAAAACTTAAAAAAAAAAAAGCAGAACCTTTTGAACTTTTGGCAAGGATTATCCAATTCTTATGCGGCCCAGAAGTAGGCTGGACAATACCTTCAAAAATATTACTCTGAGTGTTTAACTTATGACTGCTTTGTACTATCATTGTCAAATTACCTCTGTGAAAAGACGTGAAAGAGCGATGGTTATATATATATATGCCAATCATGCATAGTTGTGTGAACATAATCCTAGGACAGCTGATCCATGCCAGCAAGCTTGTTGTATATATCAAAGAACAAATAAAAAGGAAATCATACAACTTCAAAATTTTTCTTAGAGGAGTCCATTTAACTCTTTCACTACCAGAGGGTTTTCCTCACCTGGATCGGGCCCGACCTATGATCTACTTTCTGATTCTGTCTACCGTTGGACAAATGAAAGATTTTGAGTTCAATATAGGCATATTCAATACTAGCCACATGTATTACATATGAAAATAAAGGGGAAAATAATGACTTATATCAACGTGTTGCTAAAAACGATCATTCTTTAGCTTGAGATTTCAGTTTTGATTGTTACAAAAGTAGGTGTCATTTTGAAGCAGGAAGTGGAGAACATGAAACACGGCTTGCAGTTGTGAAAGAGTTAGATCAAATATTGTAAATCAGAAAACAGCCATAAACTAAAAGAAAAGAAAATCCCCTTGTTTTTTATTAATCTATTAGAGCAATAATCTTTCTAAACCGAAAACCTGGTATAAACCAAGAAAATCCAGCACTCCCACAAATGTTGGTTTAAGCAATCACTTTTTGTCCAGAAACAGGAAAGTAGAGTGGATCTCACCTCTCAAGTTTTCCTCTGCTTCCTGTACCTTTGCCTCTCCCCCGATGTCCAGCATCCACTGTTGTGAGTCGACATCATGAGTGGCATCATGGCCAACTTCTGGCATACTGGATGCGTTCACAGATTTGAAATCTGAGAAGAGCAGGGAATAAAAAACTCATGATTTGTTAGGAATCCCTAGATTTTGTTGAGGCGTGTGAGTCCTAAACTCTCTCATTAAAGATGTTACAAAATGCTCTCTTTCCAATATCCACTTGCTCACTGTCAGAAACATGACTGACAAAATAAAGACATATGTATTTTTCTTTTTGGTTTGGAAGGGGGGGGGGGGGCTGAGTTGGGTTTTTTTTTCCTATTGAAACACATTTTAGGTTTATATTTAATGTACATGATCAAACTTTTTATTTTTCTGAGTTTATCTCAGGAAATCAGTATGGTGCAATATCTAAGCACAGTCACAAAAGCTTTTGATATTCTCTGTGTGTCTAGAGCCTACATATTGACAGCCTCATAAAAATGTAGCTATGATCCTGTTTTTTCCAAAGCTATGTTTACAAACCACAGATGTTCACTTGTAATTATGAACTACCTCAGAAACCAAATATTCACTGGAATTCAACCTCCCACAGTATCTCTATATCATGAAGTACACAAAAGAAAAACAAAATGTTCAAGTATAACAAAGAACTACTTAAAAAGGCTCCACACGTAGGTCTATAATACAGCCAGAAGACAACAACTGTTTTCTAGAAATGCAGATCCAACTCAGTAACATATAATGTATAAACAATAATGTGCATGAATAAAAGTCTGAGGGGCAACAAAAATTATGAAACCCCTCGAGGTTAAAGATAGAATACAGACACTATAGCACAAAATTCTTACCATCATCCATTAAACTTCTACCATCTTAATCATCTTGTTATAAGTATTCATATAGCCTTCTAAGCATGCATAAGAATAATGTTGAGTTACAATCAGAATACAAAATAAGCCTAGGTATATAGCTTAATACTATTAATGTTTATATAGGCCCTACCACTGTTCATTCGTATTATGCATGTGAGTGTGAGCCTGTTTAAATTGTGAGTGCAAGCATAGGCATACTATTATTATATTATTATGGTTATGTGCACAGATGTGTGTGGAAGAGAGGATGTGTGATGGAAGAGAGTGTGTATATTATATGGGTGTGCACATGTGTATGTTTAGGAGTGCTTGTTCATGTGTGTGTGTGGGGGGGGGGGGGGGGGTATGTGGTGAAACACCAAAACAATGTGCCAGGATCTGGACAATTAAGGTGTATCTAATCGTATATTATCTAATCTGTGTTATATCACTTATTTTACGGGCAACTAAATATTCCATCCAGCACATTTCCATCCAGAGCACCACAGTACTTTAACAGTGACAATGATAAAGAAATAAGAAATGTCTTCCATTGGTTTAGACTAAAAAGGGGAGGTGGATGTGGATATACACAACAAAGAAGCTGACGAAAGTGCAGAACAGACCCCCAAGGCAAACCTGGAGGTGTTTGAGAAGGAGTTTACTCTGACGGATCATGCATGGGAAGAGAAACACAGAGGCAGAGAGACAGACTGACAAGACTAAATTGCAAGAGGAACAACTCACTATACATAGCCTGATCCATGTGTTTACAGAGTTGAAAGAGTTCACTCCCTCTTCCCCTTACTCGCTGACCTGCGGACAAAAAGGATGAACATAGGCCTATTAGCCATTTGAAAACAATGTGGAAAAAAAAAAGAATTCCAGTTGCAACCTCATTTGAATAAGGTTCATCAACATAACATCTAACTATATATTATATTATATAAGAGAAAGGATAAAGTAGAGTCAGTATTTGCATCATTTTTGACAAAGAAGGAAGTTTGAAACTGTAGCCTACTACAAAAACGACATGGCACGACATACACTTTGTGTATTGACGGCATTCTGCAAGACTTTTAAAAAATGTCATTTTGCAATTTGGCATTGGTCATAGTCTTGCACCCAGCCAATCATTATATGTGAGACATCGTGTCGAAATCAGCTGCTTATCAAAATATTGAAATCGAAGAAAACAGCATCCTTCTTCCCATTTGGCAATTTTTATCAAATTTTGTTTGTTTGGTTCAACACCTAATTTTTTATGTCCATTTCAAAACACATTTCTGGTGTAGTTTTTACTAAAAAACATTGATTAACGGCACAAAATATGTTAGATTTACAGTTTCCAAGAACTCTCAAGCTCTGGAAATCACAAAACTTTGGTGGCCATTTTCTCGCTAATTTTACCTCTGAATCCAAGTGACCCTACCTCATTCAGTCTGTAATATCTCAAATTATATTGATAGATAGATAATTTTCTTTGTCAAAAGCAAGACAAATGAACTAGTTTTAAGATGATACCAATAACCCCTTTTGCCCATAAATTGACAAGCCCGTGATTCCACCACATCGTGATGATCCATGAATATTGCACCATAACCGTTACTGAACACTGTAAGTCTTGCTCACTGTCAGATACAACACAAACAAAACAAAGAGATTTACAGTCAAACCTCGTTATATTCCCCCCCCCCCCCCCCCCCCGTTATATTGCCAGTTCTGTTTACCACAAGGTTTTGCCAGAGTATGAAAAGAATTGCCTACAGGCCTGTGAATTAAATATAGAATTTGCTCTTTTACACTACCATCCACCAACTATCTTGAGTGGTATGATCTTTATTACACTTATGTAAATTTGTCCACCAGCGAATTGGGCACCAGATTGGAACACACTACATTCGGCACACGGCACGCACACAGTGGCTGCTTGATAATCTCTTTCTCAGACACCTCTCTAGCAGCAAGTTCTGCCATTTTCTAGCATTTGTCACCGATCTGCTTCTGATTTGTACATATAAAATAGTGCCCTTATTTGTAAGCTTTGGTTGAATTTGTCGGCAAATAATTAAAATGGAATTATAAATGTGGTTGTTGTTGTTGTTGTTTTTAAATCGCTTTAGCAGCGAGGATTTCGCTCTTATAAATGGGGTGAAGAAACAATAAATGCCATTATGAGTTTTTAACATACCATCCAAAGTAATTAAAACAGGAAGCATCATCAGCACACCGTCCAAATAGCTCATGTTACACATTGGGTTAGACAAGCCATTTGCCGGATCTTGTAATCTTAAACTTGTGAATTTTTCCAGACCAGCCAGATACCGAAGACAGTCAACACTAGTATGAAAAAGAGACACATTTTGGTAGCAACAGTAATTGAATGAAGAAAATAAAATCGCAAAATGAGGTGCACTAGAAGATGAAATTGTGTTACACTAAATTTAGGCTATGTTAGTCATTAGGCCTATTTTTCTTTTTTAAATAGAAAAATACATTTACACACAATAGAAAACTGAATTTCTTTATACTAAAGAACGGAGCAGTCTCTTCTCAATATATTTAAGTTCTAAAACAAAAATATAACTAATAAATAAAATGTAGTCATATCTTATAAAAGTTAACATGTCCTACGAATACAAGCCTGAAAATACACATATAAAATATTGCGACCAAAGACAAAAGTAACAAAGATTGTTACCTACCTCCCTATCAAATTTCCAGACACATTCAGGCTCTGTAAATTCTCCAATGACTGTAATCCTTCTGAAACAACAATGCCAGAAAAAAAAACTTTATTTCAGTCAACATTTGGAAAATGTTTATTTATGCATCTTACTCCTATCTAAACATTTCTGCAGGATACCTTTGCATATGATATAGAGCTGTTCATTTTTGGAGGGGAAAAATTAGGTTATCGATGCAATGGCAATTCAGCTCCTTCACTCTTTTCATAGTAGAAGTGACCAAACCTCTTAATTAAGTACAGTGGAATCCAATTAAACTGAACACCATTAATCCGAAAACAGCGGTCAACCAAAAGAAAAGAAAATCCCCAATTTGTTTTGCTTTTATTATATCAATCGCTCTTAATCAAAAACCCAATTAAACTGGAGAAAATTTGGTAGTCCAATCGTTTTTAGTGAAGGAGGACTCAACCGTAGTTCAATGCTGTTGTTACATTACAATGTAAGTGCTGGAATCTGACAATAAAACTTTCAGTGTAAAAAAAATGTTTCTCCTTGGTCAATACAATAGAACATGCTGAAGGAAACATGTTTACATTTAACACATTAACATGATATCTCTGGCCAAATCTTGACTGGTTAAAATGTGACTGGAAAAAGAAAAATTAGACTCTTGCTTGAAATCTCAATTCATTTTGCTATTCTCCAAAAACATCATGTACTGTATATGAAAACACTTTTTAGTTAAAGTTTTTTTATTCAGAAATTTTAGCAGCACAAATAACTTGATATTACTGAAGTTAAAAAGATTGTGACACTTATATGAGATCTGATCAGAACAGATGTAGAGGGCTCTTGTGGTCTAGAGGTGCAGTGTTCGCCTTTCATTCAATAGGTCCTGGGTTCGAAACAAGACAGCAATAGAAAATTTTCTTCCCTAAAATTTTCTTCTTTCATCTCCTTTCCTGTTCTTTTATCATGTTCTGTTATGTGCTTTCATCTCCACTTTCTGCTCCCCAAACATTCCCCCACTCATCTGGCTCCTAACTCTTTGTACTGCTACTCCTGGCTCCTCCTTACTGCTGTCTTTCAGTCTCACTCCTGGTAGTAGGGCAGGTAAGATCAAATACCTAGCCTTTTTGAATAAGGGCAAAACAATCTCTGAGATCTCATGTGCAAGTTGCAAATGTTAAAGACCCCTTGGTGGTCCAAAATCGATTAGAATAGGCTTCAGCCACCACCAAGGCATAGTTTAAAATTAATTCCTACCAAACCGAAAATGCTTAATGAGTCCAGCATGCTCATATGACCTTATGCAGTTGCAAGTGCCGTAAAATACTTACCTAAAGAAAAAAGAAGAACAAAAAAGGAAAAAAAAAATTAAGATGAAAGTAAAGTGCAAAAACATACCTAAAGAGGAGATTCTATTTGCTGCTAGGTTGAGCTTGACTAACGCTGACAGGCCCGCAAGCTTGTGGAGGCGGCTGACGTTGTTATACGACAGGTCGAGTCTCTCAAGAGAAGTACATTCACCAATACAACCAACATCAGAGATGCCTAAGAGCAAAACAAAATTGATGTGAAAATTTGTGAGTGATCAATGTGCATGTTGGTGGCTCCCTGTTTATAATTATTCACTGTTAAGTCATTGTGCAAGAAAGTAAGTCCTCAAGCAAAGCATCACGCTTCACTAATCAAAGCTAGAAAATTATACACAACACAGATGAATAGTCCACTGTAAAACAACACGAAACAGTAAGTTTTCACATTTAATATTAACACTTTCCCTGCCCGCTCGCGGACCTGGCCTCGCTGGACCGAGAGCCGCAAAATACGGCTCGAGTGGCTCGCTATCTATTTCAATCCAGTAATGAAGTTCTCGGCCGATCCAGTTTTTCAAAATAATAGAATAGACTTCCTGTTAGCAGATACGAAAGAAAATATAGCACTGAGAGACGATTTTTCAGTCATTTCAGCACTTTTTTGTCCCCTTCGAAACGTAGAAATTAGAAGAAAAGCACTCTCCTGACTTCAGTATATGTCTCATATTTTTATTTCTATATTAGGTACACATACATAACTTTCAGCACTTTTTTGCATTACTTGAGGCAACCTACCTGGGAAGTTTGAATGATGCTGTTGTTGTACTGTTTTAGATATCACCTATCAAAGCTGGAAAATTGTTGATTTCATACGACACCTTCGATATTGCATAATCACTTTTAGAAACCCCAAACTAATATAATTGGAATAAATCTTCAATATTGTATCAATATTTTTTTACCTTCAGTTTGATGGGCCATATGATATGGTTTGAGTGTGTTTAGCTGGATGTTTTGACATTTTCCTGTGGTGGGGTAGGGGCGTAAAAGTAGGCCAGGGAAAATCCATGGGCCAGTGGTGGATTTTTGCCTGGTTAGAAAAGTGTTAAGAAATATTCGCAAGAGAAGTAATTTATTCAGAAGTGGAATGAATTGAGTAATTTGAAAGCAAAAGTTGATTTTCAGAAAATTAAATAAAGGAAAGGAATATAAAACTCTCATCTACTTTTCACACATCACATATAGATTCTAGATCTAGACTAGAGACAAAAAGTTTAAGGTCGGAAACATAGCATGTTTTATCATAGACGCTTTGGCGTTTGTATATGGGGTACATATTAACAAAAAAAGATAGACCACATAATAATACATAATATCTGCTACAAACCAGCATCCTTTATATTGAGTGTATGAATGCTTTCCACATCAAATTCTCCACTTTTAGATTTGAGCAGTTGCTTGGATATAACTCCATCTGAAAAAACAATGATGCACAATGACATAATCAATTAGAACTTGATTTATTAATTTTTTTAGATCTAGACTCTAGATCTAGACCAACAGAAACGGAAAGAAATTGATATATGGAATAGATCTAGATATCTAGATCTAGATCTAGATCTAGATCTAGATCTAGCCTTTGGTTCATATTCTTCAAGCTTTTGTTGGCTATTTCTTTCAGCCCAAAAGTAAATCTAAATGTAACCTAATTTTATGAAGTTAAGTTTTAAGTTTTACTGAAGTGTTAGCCTACTGTTGTTGCCTTGGCCTTGGCGTAGGCAGCTACTGTCACTTTTGCGCAGCAGGTGGGTCTGTAACTGAAAACTTCTTTTATTCACATCTTATACGTACGAAAGAGAGAAGAAAAACAGCACTGAGTTTTATTATTGAAACAATTTTTATTTCTTTAAGTTTTAAATTTCTTTTAAAATAAGTTCATGTAGATCTAGATTTAAAGAATTGAAGTAAGCATGCTTTACCATTTGAGTTTGATTCCACGGACGCCATTTGTAAACAATGCCATTCACCGGAAGCAACGCACCGATACACCAAACAATAGTATCGAATAGTTAATGTGAAGGATTTATTATTTATTTTGTATTAACACATTATGCTGTGCATATCATAATCTTGCTAGAGCCTGAGAATATTTGCGAATGACGGAATGAACATTTGCATACATAAATACGTTTTCCCAGGTATTGTTATTAAACGTTTTAAAATCGTGGGACGCACCTGTCCATAATATGAATTCATGAATAGGCATCACAGAATTCTACACTTAGACTTAGTGTAGAATTCTGTGGTAGGCATCCAAGTCGGATATCTAAAGCAACATAGCCTATTAACAACTGATTTCATAGATGTAGGTATTTTGAAAACTTAAGAAGGATTTTCATAATAGTTTGAAAATATTTCATAATAACTTGATACATTCTCTGACAGTGACAGTGAACTAAGCGCGCTTCGTGCTCAGCATGGGGTGGACTTTCACCATAGTGCCGAGTTTGCAGGGAGACAACCGCTACTTTTCTGTTAAAGTATTTTTTTGTTTTATTAGTTATCTCCCGTGAAACGTTTGTGTTTTCCGACAAGGTGATAGAGACAATAATATAATGAATTTAATTAATGTTTTATTGTCATATTTTGCTTATCTTTTCGCCCCGACATAGACTACAGGTTACCTTCATTATGGAGCAAATGAGGTGTTCTAGGTAAGCTATGTTATCCTGTAGTATAATTGTTCCAACTGATTAGTACCGTGCAGCAAAAGACATGATAAGATATTATGATACATATTCATTGTCCAGATCCTGGCACGTTGGTTCGGTGTTTCATCACGCGGGCGCATACACACACACACACACACACACACACACACACACACACATACTATATACCAACGTGCATGCGCACGCATACGCACGCACATGTGCACACCCATATTAACACGACATACTTTTCCCTTAAACGTCCTGTCTTCCACTTCTCATAGGCAAACGTAATAATTCCTCCGTCAAAAGCGTTTTTATAATGAGATTTTGTACTTTGGTCAATACCAGCCCTGACTCCGACAAACCTTGATGAAAACTTTGCAATGAAAATCTGGGACCCTTTTCTCAAAACTGTTTTTTGTTTCCTTTATCCCTCTCATTCGTCTTACAGTACACTCATCAATGCAAAAGAAACTGTAGCTGAAATCGTATTTTTTAAGCAAAATTAACTTATTCAACTTGCTGCTTGTGAAATCCGTAAGGAAGACTAGAGATTTGAAGGCTGGATCTAGACTAGTACAGTTCTGAGTAGACTGCTTATCCTATTTATTATGTTTCAATTTTCATTTTACATTTAAAAATAAATACCAAAAAAAAATGCTATATAAAATCTTTTCTCGTAATAGTTTCCGTATTATAAGAAAATACTCTACCGCAAAGCGTGATTTTACAAGAATAAGTTTGCTGGTAGGTTAAAACGGTGAAAAGATATGTTATAGTAACTCATTAATTGATTTAACTTCAAATAAAGTCTTCAACACCCCTTAGTCGTAGAACAACCTGAGTTGAACGAAACTGAGTTATCAATTCCACCTGATGGTGTTTTGGCTTGTTTTTTAAATACTGTGTTTGTGTTTGTTTTTTGGTTTTTTGTGGGGGGGGGGGGGGGGGGGGGTTTGTTGTTGATATTTTTTAAACACAGAAATGTTTTTGCATTAGCCTGGGATTGGTATCTTAATAAATTAGAAGGCGAAAATGTTTTACAGACATTCAAAGCAACTAGCTGTTGAGAGGCAAGTATTATGGGATTTTTCTGAAATCCAGCTGTTATTATACCTTACTTTCCGGGCTTGGCTAATCATTCTTTTATGTCTTCGTTTCGACGCTCCCATCGACACAATTTAAATAATTTAGGACGCGTTTTTTTAAAAATTACTCCAAGCAGAGAAGCAGTGGCCAATTTCAACTCAGTTCAGGGTTCACTTCTTTACTTTACTATGATACTTCATAGGACCGGCCAAAGTCACCCCAATATGGAAGGCTTAATTGCCTTATTATTATTATCAAAACATGAAGTTATAAGTAAAATAAAAACATTTTCTCACTGCTTACAATCGTTCCACTTAAATTTACCCAAACATTTGAACTGTTTCTCGTGTTGTTTTAAAAAGTCATTACAGCAGGTGTTGCAAGAAAAGTGTCCAAAGTCACCACAGTTAACGGAACTGTGAATGCACTGCACATCCTCTCTTGGCTGGTTAAAGTTATGCTCCAGGCTTTCCAAGGTCCGTGCTGCAGTCCCATACCCTCGAAAACCAGTCCTGAAACACATCGGGTATTACATGTACCGTAAAAGGAAAAGAATAGGGAACTCGAACCCGAGGGTTTTGGTAATATGGCAGTACCCCCGATATCAATTTTACCCAAACCTCTTTGGGTCTGTCAGCGACTGCGTAGACGTTCATCTCCGACAGGACCTAACCAAACACGGCAGGCTGAGGGCCTTAAAAAATCGGCAAAATGACTCGAGTTTTAAAAAAACCACACCCAGCGTGAGATTCGAACCAGGGCCATCCAATCCATAGTCCAGCTTGATACCACTTGAACTCACGAAGCGTCCATAAAAAGTATCATGTAAACGTGACATAATGATAATATGTTTACATACATAATTTGTCATATAAAGGGAGAAAGTTATGCTTTTCAAAAAAGTATATTATATATTACTGTGATTATGTCCCTTGGTCGTCGTCTCAAATTTTAATGTACATTCGTTTAGGAATATTAGTTTGAGAGCAAACATTAAAATGAAAGTTTCTTGTTCATGCAACCGCCTTGTGACTGTGGAAAAACCCGTTACTATAATTAAAAATGACGTCACTAGTATCGTTTGAATCTCTGCTTCTCGATCCTGAAACGCCTGGTGTCGTGTCTTACAATTACGACGAGGATTACGAAGCGATGTCTGATGGAGCCAAAAGGATGCTAAAAGAGGGGAATGCCGGAGGTTGTTCCATCATGTCGGAAGCCTACTCTTTTAACCTCATTAAACAAAAACTGCTGATTAATGTTGAATTGTGGGAGACAGAGACAAAAATTCAGTATCGGAATCGAAAAGGCAAAATTACAGACTACACGATCAATTTCGAAAAGCGCAGGTTTGCAGTGCAGGTCACTCGAGCTATGTACCACCCCAAAGACCGAAGTGTACCTGTCAAACGTCTCAAAAAAGAGATTGACAAAAAACTGAAAGGGATTAAAGAATCGTCTCAAAACGCATCTCTCAGATGGGAAAAACAGATCCTACACGTATGGTGTCAAGACTCGACCCTGAGCGAAGTCGTTGAAGACGCATTCATGAACGCCGATGCTGTCCTGAGGGGAAACACAATCCTGCTGGTATCGGAAGTTCTGGACGATTATCTGAGGGAGAAGATCTTTTAACAAGGCATGATGTAGGCTTATTTACTAGGCTTAGCCAGAAAATAGTGATGACGCAATATTGAAAATGCAGATTTATTTGTACAGTGTTGAAATAAAGTTTTAAAAAACAACAACATAACCATTGAGTTATATCCTTTGTTTTTACATGTTTGGCGGGCGAGCGAGAGAAAGTTAGTGCGCTAGGGTCAGCTAGTAGAGAATCTTTGGTTGAAAGAAAGCAACTGAGTTTGAGGCCTAATATGACTGTATAGTCACTTAACCACTGGTCAGATTGATAGCTTGACCACTGGTCAGATTAACTGTATATATAGCTTGACCATTGGTCAAATTGACTGTATGTATAGCTTGACCATTGGTCAATTATACTATTGCTTGACCACTGGTCAGATTGGATGTATTTCAATATAGCTTGACCACTGGTCAGATTGACTGTAG